ACCCTGCTGGGGGTGAGCTGCTGGAGCAGGGGGTGGGATGAGATGATCCCCAGAGGTCCCTTCCCACCCCACCACGCTGGGATTGGGGGTTCTGTGAAGGCTGAGACCCTCACCCCATGACTTCCCAGATTGATTCAGGGATTTTCCACCCTGGAGAAGCTCAGGGCTGGGGAGGTTGGAGCTCAGCCCAGGGATCCCCCAGCCCCCAGCACGGGCACTCACCACTCGAGACCATCCAGCTGACACAGTACCGGGGGAACACGGTCTGGGGGTTGTCACTGTAGGTCAGCAGGTAGTCAAAACCATTCTGGGGAAGGAGAAGAAGGAGAAGGTGGCTGGTGAGCCCCAGTTTGGTGGATAAATTCTCCTCCTAAACCCCCCTTGAGAGCCCCTCGTGTCCAGGGTGAGCACTTCAGAGCTCTGATCTCTTAAGAGGTAACCCAGACCTGTGGAGAGCTGCTGTGAGCACCCAGGGAGGGTTTTTTTCCAGGAGGTGACATTCCCCTGGTCCCCCCACTGACCCACCATGTTCTCTCCAGGCTCTGGACACCCTGTGAAGCCCCCACGATGTTTTTTTCCAAGCTTGAAGTGTCAGGAATGAGGCCTGAGAGACTTTTGAAGAGGAGCCTGGTGCTGGGAACGAGACTCGTGAGGCTTAAAGCTTTTTAAAAGCAGCTCTGAGAGGTGTGGTGGGTTCTCCAGCAGCACCAAGCTCCCCCAGGAAGAGCCTCAAGCTACTAAAAGAAAGCTTCAAATCCCTCCCAAGCCACGTGGAGAGGAGTTTCTCTTGCCTTCAGGATAACAACTCATCCCTCTTTTCTCACTCTGGGCTCTAGGCACCAGCTCAGAGCTGTGGCTGATGGCCAGAGAAGGAAGTGTCCCCCTCAGAGCTGAGGTTGGGGCAGGAGGAAAGTCTCCTGTGAGAGGTTTCCAGCTCCATTTCCCAGCCCAACCCCCACAATGTACCTCATCAAAGGTCTTGTGGGGCCTGATGACCATCTGGGACTCGTAGGTCCTGACCCGGACGTACTCGGGGTCCTCAGGGACACTGGGGTGCTCCACTGCCCTGCAGGGAACAAGAGAAGGGAGGAGGTGAGTGTAAAAGCACTGGGGAGGGCACCCCTCAAATCCTGGGGGCAGTTTTGGGCCCCTCCCTCATTTCCAGCAGGACCTTGAGGGGCTGGAGCGTGGGCAGAGAAGGGCAACGGAGCTGCTGGGGAAGGGTCTAGAGGCCAAGTGTGGGGAGGAGCAGCTGAGGGAGCTGGGGGTGCTGAGCCTGGAGCAAAGGAGGCTCAGGGGAGAGCTTCAGGTTGTCCCTGAGGAACAATTTCTTGCCCTGGAGGGTTGCCCAGGGCTGTGCCAGGCTGCCCAGGGCAGTGGTGGAGTACG